TCACGAAAAGCGATGCATTTAATTCTATCGACCATTCTTTGCTCTTCATTGTCGTAAGTACCAGCCATTTTCCCTTAATAAATTTAACTGATCAATCAATTTGGTATATTTTTTCTATTTATAGAGTTTGTCTATCACTAATGACTTTATATAAGGTCTTACGAACATTTAAAATTCTTTTTCGAGAAATTTCGAAGATAAAATAGGAATGAGAAAAAATAATGTTGACTAACTGCTATCATGAGTCATTATCCTTGGAAACAGAAAGAAAATTATTTTTCTTCTATAACATTAATACTATGCGAAAGAACAGAAACGAAAAATGAGTGCAAACGAGCAAGTCACTTAGATGAATATAAATGTGCACTGTTTTATCTTTTCTAGTATAATTCCAATACATCGTTATTCACATTTCAGAGAGATACAAGACAATAGAAAGCAAAAAAATAATCGTAGTTTCAGCTTTGAAGCACGTTGAATCCTTATAACACCGATAAATCGACGGATATATGTAGGAAAAACAATTCCATTCTGGTCAAATGATTCATTATTTACAGAGTATCTCCATTATATTTCAAAAATTGGTTCAGTTCAACATAGAAAAGTTTCCATATCCCTTACTATTTAGTACTGCTAAATCCCGTTTTTGACGCGCTTTAATTTTGTATAAAATTTGTTATGATTGCTATTTGAAATCATAGCGTTACCCCCCTGGAATAATATTTTTACCCACCTAGTATTTCGAGCATGGGAAGAACAACTTGATCGATCAAAAGTATATTTTGTATTTGATTTAATTGAATAAAATATTATAGATAGGTTTTTTTTGGAAAGGTAGTTGAAAGTGATGATGAACAAGAATTACTTTTCAGTATACCATTTAATGGTGCTGTGAAAATAACTGGTCTATGTGTTATTGGTGAAAATGGTCCATCACATCCGAATAGAGTTAAATTGTATATGGATAAATTATTTCAATAAAGTAGGAGTTATGATTTATATATATATATATATGAATAGATGGAGTAATTTACCTGAATTACGTTTTGATAATGCACATGGAAAAGCTCATCAAGAAATTTCACTTACATATGATCCATCCGGTACATTAGCTTATCAAGTCAAGTAAATATCTTGATTTTTTGAAAAAATTTTTAATCAAATATCTATTTTAGTCCATCACATTTCTCACGTGTAACACATTTATCTTTATATTTTCCTTCGAATTTGGGTGATGAAACAACTCGTATTTATTATATTGGTCTTCGTGGTGAATATCTTGGTGTAAGTGAATGTTATATTTCAATATGATTCTGTATGATTTTTTTCATATATAGGAAGTAAAATCTAAAGTAGTCATTACAACGTATGAAGCTAGACCACAATTAAAAGATCACAAAGTGGATGATTTTTTAACAGGCAATCGTGAAATACAATAAACTGATACTATTGTTTTTTTTATGTTAAATTTGCAAAAAATCTTTCTAAAATAAATTTTCATCTTGATTGAATTTGTTGTATTTTATCTCAAATGATTCTTAGAACTAATGGTAAGGATATAACCTACTTTCTACAGAAATCCGTCTAAAAAATGGACAGTAGTTTTCAATGGAAGTCACATTTGAACACCATGTTTACATATTCAAGAGCTCGCAAATAGTGCATTTTTTAGCCATATCTTATGACCAATTTCTGACAAAGTTCGATATATAGTGACCTATTTTGTGATCGGTAACCTTTTCTTCATTGAAACTGGTTGTCATAAACCATCCATAAAATGATAATGACGTAGCGATGAAAAGTCAAGTTTTTCTCCACTACAAAAAGACAAGTAAAGGCAATAAATATCTTAATTGGCTATTATAGACCAAGAACTAGATCTTAATTTTGCATGATAACCTTGAACTAGAAAAATGATTTGGTCTTATAAAGAACTTGACAGGGTGTGGGTGTTGTCTTCTTTTAAATCCACACGCACACGCACACCCACACCCAACTATTCATTTTGCAAAGTGCTGCACACCTGTTCTAAATTGAAATTTCCGTTATGATGCATGATTCAATCGAAAGGTGTGGGTGGATGGGGTGTGCGTGTGGATGTGAGTCTTCTTTTTGCAAACATCCACACCGACACCCGGCATACTTAACTATCTGAATGACATTATTCTCTAGGACAATTTCCAATACTTTAAAGTTCGAATAATATATGAAGATTTTCTCAATAGAAGACCGATCATTCTTCATCCAAGAATGAATGTTTGTGGTAGTTTCGCATATGTTAACAAATGACGTTCTACATATATCTAATGGTGTCTTATATTATCTCGCATTTAGAGTTCTTTGCTTAGACATGATAATACATTTCATACATCGATATTCCATATTGATCACTGTTCTTCGACTTGATAGAAATTTTCGTTGACGATACCACGTTGACGCATTATTCCTTCAGAAATCAATCAAAATAGATGGATTGTCTATCATATGACTTTTGTTGCTGATTTCTGGATAATCGTCAAATTTTTTTTTCAGTTCATCTTGACCATTTAGTAGAGACTGCTCCGTATGAACTTCGTTTTAGGTTCAACTCTACAGACGTTTTCGTTTTCGGCTAGTAGCATAAACTGATTGAAATATGAAACCTATCGATTGTGTTTATTTAGAGATGTAACCAGATCGGCTGCATCATCATCAATGTATCATCAACTAACAACCAAGCAATTGAGTTGCGAACTTTCTCTTTTTTAAGCCTAGAAGTACCAAGAATATCTTTTTTCCATCTCTTGACAATTTGTTCTCTACCGTCATTAATCGATTCGTTACAAAACAGGAAGACAGATAATGAGAAAACGATCTTGATGAGATGCAATCAAGCAAAAAGAAAGAAAAAAAAACTAACCTTGCCTTTTTTCAGTATCCATCTCTGTACATATTCTACCTACATATTGATTTTACTCACTGAAATATATGTATATATAAATATGAAAGAAAAAAAGGCAACCGTCATAGAAGTTCTCTTGCTTTTGATATCTGCAATTGCAGGAAAAAATCCAATATAATCATGCAGTCATCAATAACTTTTTTCGTTCGATAAACTTTCATATTTGTAAAGACATCCAGCGTACACTTGAATGATGATGTTATTTTTTTATTTTTACTACAGAAAAGAAAAGATGAACTCTTTCGTCTATAAATCGCTCGAGACAAGTTCAACTTCATAGTTCATCGATATAAAAAAAAAAGTAAATATAAGAAACCATCACTTTAGTTAGAGTGAGGGTAATGGAATACTCAAAATGCACATGTCATCAATCCTCTTTTCACATTAGAAATGTTTATATATATGTGAAAGTGAAAATAAATAAACTAATTTTAGACGTGCACGAGTCACTTCTATTTGTCACCGGATTCACATAAGATATATATATCAATAGAAACAAGAGTATTCGTTCTGTTAGATAAAAGTGAATAATATTTATTTATTTTATCTTTTGTTCATTTCGTAGATTATTCTTTATTGTTCTCATATCTTTGTCGTATGTTTCATTAAGGGTGATAGAATATAGCGACATATCTACGATCTAGAAATCGACATTTCAAAAAGACTTTAAGATACATATATAGATTAAAGATCTATAACTTCAGACTATCATATAATTCAAGACGATCTATCCAACTTAAGGAAGTCAAGCTGCATGCGTAACGTAAAACATCTATTTTTCAATATTAACACGAACCAAAAGACGTCAACAAAGCAAAAACATTTAAAAGAG